AGTCTATCACCTTAAACACAACAGTAAGGACACTAAAGATGATAAAAGCAATTGCTTGAACGTGAGGAAATAGCACAGTTAAGACTTCCACATTATTTAAACTCAAGTCTTTTAGCCAATGCACTCCCACACTGCTTTTTATTACATCAGCACCGACCGGAGGGTCACATAGCTGGTTATGGGGACATCAGCTTTATACTGCAACATCTCCCTCCACCCTGCACTTAGACACATCTCACGCGCCCCTTCACACGATGGGTGTGTTTCCAGCCTCACGGGATGAGCTGGGTGTGCGCACACACTCCTCTCCCAAGCTCGGGCAGCAGCTTGTCACTTGGCCAATGTGCGAGCATCACTTTGACACAATGGGCACACGTGAAGTCACGCACCATGGGAAGAACAGGAGCAAGGATAAAATAAGCAGCTGTTTCTTCCTTGCCAGCATCCAAGTTAAAAACAGACCACAGATCAAGCCAGATACATGCTCTTGCAAGGACAGCTCTGACCTGGAGTTTGCCATAGACTCCCGTAAGAGACCATCTCTTCCCTGCCCCAGTCAGTTCATGGTGTACATGGTTAGCAGCAAGAAATAAAGCCATAAAGGTCATATAGACACCACCTGCAGCAGGAGCTCTCCACATTTCTGCAGATGGGGACATCAGTGATATGCCCTGGATGGTGAGGAAGAGGAGAATGTGCAGACACATACCTCCAGAGACCTTGGGATCAAAAGGGATTTGCCATCACTAAACAAGGAACCCCATGGCAGGAATCAGCTCTCCAACGTCCCACGTCATCACAGTCATCAGGTGCTTTTAACTCCTCGCAGCCTTTATCAGACACCTCTGACCCCTGCAGCTACATGTTGGCTTATGGACAATGCTCAACCGTGAACAGAGAACGTAAGTCCCCAGGGCAGGAGCGTGGAGGGGGTAGCAGGCTGCTACAGGGGAGAAGGCAAATAAACCTGAATTTCTCCAACTCCTCTTGCATGAATCGAGGTCCCAGGAGCCATCCTAGGATCCATCCTCAATCATCTCTAATTATAGCAAGATATGGAAGAGAACAGACAGCGTCAATGTGTTTTCATACATATTAGATGGATGTTTCTCAAAGGGAAAATGAAGGGTCTTGTGTGAAGCTGTAGCTGTGAAACACAGACATGACTGAGCAGGTCAACCAAGAAAAGGCTGCAAGGAAGCCTAGCCCTGGGAGCTCCAAGGCCATTCATACACAAGTGCAATATCAGCAAGTGTGTTGTAACACATCAAGTCCATGTAACTTGCCACCAGTCTACCACACACTTCAGTATGTGCTGGTGAAATAATTACAGCACTTGTTAAGCTTTATTCCATCACTCACTCACCCAAGACTCATAACAACCCCACAGAAAGTAGATGACTCCACCTCTGCCACATAAAACTCCACAAACATCCACTTCACACAGCGACATCAACGACAAAAAGGGACCAGAACACTGCTCAGATGCAAGAGTTGGGGTCACATTATACCTGGCTAGATTTGCTCACCAGCCCTTCGATGGGAGCGACAACCCTATCCGAGTATCCTTGTGTCATAATAAAAAGAAGGATGAGACCAATCTGAAAGAATTACTAACACTGAAGCAGGGGAAAGCAAAGTGCTGCCCCAGACCCAGGGCACCAAGCTGGATGTAATCATCCAGTTTTTAAATATCCTGTGTGATAGCAATTCACTGCAGAACTCGCATGCAAAGTGACAGCATGAAGTTTACACTGGGATTGCTTTAGCCCTTGCTTCACTGCCCCCAGACAGAGAGCTGCTACTACTGATCAGCCAGCTGACATTACCCCGGACTTGGGAAAAGGAGTGGAAAAAACTTCGCTTAGGCCAGTAAAAAGATCAAAAAAAAGAGCAAGAGCAAACAGTCTGACAGTACAGACCTAGCTCTCTGTTTCAATAAATAAGTTGCTTCACAAAGAGGCATTTCTCAAAGTTGTGAGAAGCAAATAACCCCCATTATCACAGTCAGGAAGGGCATCCTCAGGATCCAGTGCCAACGGGCACCTGGTCATGCTCGTGTCTGCAGCACCCAGCAAACATCAGTGAGCTTCCAAACAGACACCTGTGAAATGGCACAACTAACCATAAACTCTGTGCAACTGCATTAACTATTCCTTGTTAATTATTTATTTCACAGAGAAGTCTTTTCAGGGACAGAAAGACAACACCAAATTTAGAAAACCTGAGGAAAAGCAGGATGAGCATCCTTCTAGCGAAGCCACAGCCTGAAGAGTGATCACCTCCTCGCTGCAGAAGACACTATGGCATCGGCTTTGCAAGGCAAGAGCAGCCAGAGGATGGTGCATCCAGAACAAGATGTTTGCCTGGGAAAACACTTCATGTCCATCTGCAAAAAGCCATTTCAGAATCTCCCTCTCTGGATCTGCTCCAGTCATAACAAAACTACTAGGAGATACACAGCACTCCTGGCACAGTGAAATCCTGATGTGGTTTATAAACAGAAGATACAGACAGGAAAGGACACTTTGAGGAAAAACAATTAAATAATTCTTGTACTTTTTTTGCAAAATTTTAAGAACCAAATCCATATCACATTAGCAGGTCAGTTCTAAAGAACTGTAGAAAAAAACCCCAAACTCAGGGCTTGCGGTGTGGCACACAGCATTAGCCCTGTGATGAGGAGTGAAGCCAGGCAGCCACTTGGCCGTCAGGGAACCGTGACACACATCACACAAGCTCCTGTGGACCCGTTTCCCACCTCGAGACCCATCTGTGCCCAGAATGTGAGGCCCATAAGAAACCAGCAACAGTATTTTACACTCAGAGACACAGCATCAGCAGGAGAAGGACCTCCACCTACAACAGCTGCAGGGTGGTTACACCAGCTCACAGCAGAGGGATGACGGCTAATTGGAGCAGAGCATTTACTTAAACCATTGAGTGCCACCTGGCCTAGCACATCCAGGCTATCAAACACACCAGGGTGGTGTCACCCAAAGTGAGCAACTTCCCCTCCCAACACTTAGAGAAAAGCTGTTCAGTGGCCAATACTTAGCGCTGAGCCTGCTAGCTACTCTTTTGTCCACTACCACAAATAAGAGAAGAATTAAAACAAAAAGGAAGGAGAAGATTACAGGGTGGTCTTGCAAGGAACAAGCACCAAAGCTTGAGCAGTGAACACACAGAGGGTTCTGGTTCAAAAATGCAAACAGCTGATGCCTGATGCCCTGGAAGGGCCTGTTTGCTCCTCTTGGAAAGCTCCTGAGTAGGGAAGCTTGCGGGGTTGTGGGCCAGCCAACTCGAAAGCACGCCAGCTCTAATCTCCTTTCCCAGCTGTGTACACAGGGAAACTGCAAAACACGAATGCCAGAGGAAAAAAAAAGGAAAGCTCCAATTATTCTCAGACCACAAGAATGACAATGTTTAAAAGCAAAGATATTGGCAGGGCAGCAGAAAGGGAGAGCTGTCCAGAACAGCCGAATGACAAAATTCTGTGTTTAGGAATTAGCCGTTGAGGCAAGGAAGAAATGTGCTATACAGCTACTTCTTCCACAACGGCACCTGCACAGAATTTACTGTTTCAAAGCGTTTTCTAATGAGATCAGAAATAAAAACTGTCAAATACCCAAGCTGTGTTTGAAAGCTATTCTCTACATTAGGTTTCCTTTAGAAAGCTTTACTTCCAAAAAATAACACTGGACAGGAGTATCATTTGCTCCTCCTGCGATTATTACTTGATAACTGTATTCAGTAACAAGGCCGAGATAATGAAATTTTTTTTTTAGGGGTAACAAACTCTTGATGAGTTTCCCTTCCAGAGAGATGCAGAAAGGTTGGTTGTATACAGTTTGTAGCAGTCATACAACTCTGGACTTATGTTTTTCTTTTCTGAGGAAAAAAAAAATAAAAATCAAGGTTTGTCCATTTTCAGCTGAATTCAACTGCAATGCTGCCCAAAGGACTAGAGAGCAGTATTATGTTAAAGCAAGAGTATTTTATTCTTTCAGACAGCACAGCAAATGGTTTGCTTTCTCTGTTGACCTCTGCTAAGTATCTTCGGCAGGGGGGAAAAAAAAAAAAAGGGTTACCCTGTCTAACAGAGAAGGTTGTTCAGGTATCAGCAATACACACTCGTACCTCTTTACACTCTTCCTCAAGTGTCATAATTTAAAATTTTGCAATCTCTTAATTTCAAAACCAAACAAAAGGTAAAAAGGAGAGTATTTCCTGACGGTGCAGAATGAGCGTCCAAGAGAAACCCAGCACGGTCACACAGGTACGTCGTATTTGGAGCTGGCGTGCCACGTCAAGTTACAAAACATTATTTGTCCAGTAAATAAAGCTGAGGGTGTTCACGCTTGCCTGCAGGTTTCAAATCTTCTTTCCAGAATGTTGACAACTTACTTTAAAACGTGCCATTTCCCATGTTCATTCTAGTAATTCTCAATTTTTGTTTTCCCCTTCAATTCTTCCTCTCCCCAACCTGCCAAAGCTTACCACTTGTTGCAATAAAATGCCAGCTAAACAGGAAACATCACTTAGTACGCTAAGATTATTCAGATTTTACACAGTCCAAAACATCTAGATCCGCAAGACTCTACACCAGTACAGAGAGAGGGAAGTTAATCTCCCCACCATCGGTATGGGAAGAGCCAAACTGGCAGCCGAGTCTAGAATGTCATTTCTGGCATCTGTACAGAGACACAAACACGGGAAGCCACCAGGCAGGTTCTTCAGCAACGTCCACCACGATCTCTGAGGATTGGACAAGCTTCTCCCCTCCAAACCCTGTACGAGCACCAGTTCTGGTGCCAGGGAAGCAGCACAGAGAGGAGAGCAAGAGCCCTGAAACACGCTTACATCAGTGGGTTAGACTAGTGGTTACTGGTAATGAAACAGCAGAGTTTTCACTATATAAAATTTATAAATTTATTTTTTTGTAAAAATCCAAAGAGCACGAAGACATCTCACTCAAAATACTTGTAAATCAAGCCACACTTAGAAAAATGAAAGCTGATTTTATTATTTTATCCACAGCCAATCCTTTGACATGAACATGCATACGTAATTTTGCTACGCACACACCACAGTTTAACGTTAGTTATTAAAGGTTAAACATACAACATACATCCTTACAAAAATGAGTCAAAATGCAAACGTAACTTTTAAACAAAACAGTTTTTACTCATTTAAAAAAACCTTTGTGTTGGGTACCATTTTGTACAAACACAGTTAATTTAAACAAATCTGCTTTTAGTTTCCTCATGGTTGCACATGAAAATAAGCTGCAATAGAAAATGAAGTCATCAAGGGATTTTTAAATAGCAGAAGAAGGCAGTCTTGCCATGCAGAAGAAGCAATATTAAATATTAGTTTTTCAAAAAAAGAAAAAACCACAAGTTTAAAAATATTTAGTTCAAGTCACAAATCTTTCCCCAGTACAGAGAAATCCAAATGCAACGCATAATTAGCTGCCACTTAGAATGGCTATTCTGAAAAGCAGAAATACTTTCCAGAATTGATAATTTTCATTGATTTGGCACAGAAAAGAAGTCTGAGCTTACTTAAGAACAAGAAAGTGATTAAAAAAAAAAAGGGTAAACAGGAAGAGAGAAAATAAAGAGCGAGAATGAACAAGATAGTAGTTGCAATCACTAAAAAAAAAATATCTGTGCATCTCAGTCATTGCAGAATACTGTCTGTCTACAGCAGGTGCGAATTCCAGGTAATTGTTATTGCAACATGGATTTAATTTGCTTGGAGGTAGTCTCATCATTCAAATGCTTTGTTGTGTACCTAAACACAGAAACAAAAACCAAGTTGAGAAAGACACAGATGCTATTTTCATTTGGCTTAACGAATACGGAATTTCTTTGTTTATGGCTCAACCAGAGTTAAAACCCACTGATCACCCCCAACTCCACGGTTACCAAGTACATAAACGAGACCTTCTGATCAGAACATGCCACTATCCACCAGAACTATAACCCAGCAGCCTTGCACTGAGGCGAGTAAAAAAGAAGCCTCAGCTGGATGTTGGGTTCCGTGCTCACAGGCCGTTTCAGAGCAAACTCCTGTCACCTCTGCTGATAAGCAATTATCAGTAAGGCCAACTCTGAGGTCTTTGCCCACAGGAAACACCTGCAGATAAAACTCAGCTTCTTCACAACTCCCAGGCACCAAACCTCCCTAAGATCCCTCAGCAAAAATGGATTTACTTCCTTTTCGGCCTAATTTCCTGTTAGCTAAAACCAAAGAGTATATACAGATGTGTTTTCCAGCCTCTTCCCTTCAAAATTCTCTAGGGCATTAGCACATTTTTAAACCACTAAAAAAAAAATTAGTCATCTGTTATTTTAAAAGAAAGTACTGTACATCCTCAGACCTAGCTTCTTTGTATGATTTATTTTCCTGATCTTCCTTCTCTAACTGTAATCTAAAAAGCAAGTAAAATCTTATTCTGTTATTTAACCTGTTAAATTAGCACTGTTATTGTTACCCACAACTGCAGTGATATTTTAGTTGTTCACTTGAAGAATACACAATGACTTTTTGTTTCAGACAGGAATATCAATGCAGATTTCTGTGCTTCTTCGCAATTTATACTTTCTACAAACAAGAGGCCAATGGTTTTCTAAAGTCTTGAAAAGTTTTTGGTATTCTGCCTATGTGAAAAAGCTGAATATGACTGCAATTATTTATGTGAATCTCAAATTATGAAGAGCTGACATCCATTCAAAATCCACACCACCTTTCACCTGCTTTTAAGACACATTATCTATGCCTTGAGAAAACACAAAAACTTCTAACATTCCCCCAGAATTAAAGATTTAGGACTTAATTACTCGTGACATCATCTTGCATCTGCTTTCATCACACATGATGTAACAGCTCACCTTCGCATCTCCTCCTAACAATTCCAAATGTTACTTAGAATAGATTTACATATCCTACCCAAACAAGCAATCAAACATATGAAAACAGCACTATTAAAGTTACATAGGCACGAAATAGGTTGCTGTGGCGAGAGGTCAGCATGGCAGCACAGACTGAATTTAGGTGACTAACACAAAACAATGCACAACCAAGTGAGAACCTGAACCACGCTTTCCATGGGCTTTCACAGCGTGAACCATGATGAGGAAAAATGGGTACTGGTAAAGATCAGTGTTTGTTTGCAGCTGCAATCACAATAAATTGGTCAAAACGTAAACGATAATATAGCATTTCTGCCCCTAGAAGCTTGTGTTTCTACTGATCACCATCTCAAAGACCAATTATGTTCAGGAGGTTCAGAGGTGAACAACAAAACGGTGTCACGAAGTCTCAAGTTACGCCCAGATTTTTATGTTTTTTTTCTTTAGCTAATAACCTGAAAACACTTGAAGTGAAACCACTTACAATACCACATTATTTCACTTCTGATCATATCTTAACACACAAAAAAAAGAGGGCAAATGAAAATAAAGAGTTTCACTACAGGTAATAAAAACAAAGTACAATGGCACAGTTTCAGGCAAGACAAACTAAAGCTTCCACATTTCAAAGTGAGAGTATGAGTAACGATACCCAACTTAACCAAAGTGATACAACGTTTTTTCAATTAAGGACAAGAATGAAGCCTATCACATTCTGGCACAGCTTGCCACTCCTCTGATGCTGGACACTCACATGAACATGAACGACTGCAGATGCAGATTTACGAACCAAATTAGCAGTTTTTAGGTTTCTATACAGAACTATTTCTTCTTTACCTCTCCAAATCACGTGGCAACTTCTTGTCTCATCTATCTTACAGCAAAAACATCGAGACTCTTGCCTTAAGTACCTCCCTACAAACGCTTTGTGAAAGAGGAACAACTTCTAGTTAGATACCAAAAAATCTAACTGCCTTGTGTGTCCGAAGCTATTATCTGTGAAACATAAAACCAATCACATGACACTAATACTCTGCTCCTAACAAATAATATCACTACAACATGGGCAAAACACACAGAGGTGAGAATACGGCCGGTGCAAACTAATCCAGCCAGTTCTTGAGAAAGCTGGCCCCGGTGAGAGTACACAGGCTGCAGCTGCTCACGTGCCTGTCTGGTAGTTCAGTCAGCAGACGTGATCGCAGTAAACTCCTAGTTAGCGTTCAGTGTGTACCCAACTTCAGGTACAACATCTAGTCCATCACGCTTACCTCTGCAGATTCGTTCATAGCCTGCACGCAGGGAAAATGCGCAAAAAGCTATCTTAGAACGAACAACTCAAGTTTACAAACTAGCTTTTAAAACACAGTAGCTTCTTCGTGCACTCCCGTCTCCATACACTGGAAAAAAGCCTGCAATAACCACATTCACCTTTTAACTGTAACACTGACTATCTCTCTGCTGAAGGAAAGCTCCTGTACAACTTACGAAAATTCACATGAAAATATTCCAAATATGAGTACCTGAGAGCATTTAGAAGGCCTTCTACACTGTTAGGAGGCTGGTCTTTAAGAACTTTGATGCATCCTTTCATCTAGGAGGTAAAAAAAAAAGTTTTTCATGTTAATACCTTAAAATAGGGGAGTATTTTATATTCAGTTTGTCAGAGAGCAAAAATAAGTATTTTAAAATTGCAGTAGTACATTTTCTGGATATAAGAAATTAAGTTGTCAGTATTTCATTTTGCTACGATGAAACAGCTTAGCCACTTGAAAATCTGCGTGTCTCTAGACAACACAACCTCCATGTCAAGCTCTGCTTTACCGACTGTAGAAAAAGAAACTATAAACAAAAATCTTCGTTCATCATAAACCCATTTTGAATTACTACATTCAGCCAGCGAAACAGTGACAATCTGTAGCTAATACAATGGGATCACAGTCCATTTGAAACAAGCACGAATCAGCGCAAAGTAACGGCATTTAGATCACACAATCAAACAACAGCAAGAACTTAAAGACGTCAAGATCGGCTGAAGACGAACCCAGCTTTCTACCAGACAGCAAGGAACGAGGCAGATGCCATCATTATGTCCAGTCATTCCGATTTGGATCCTTCAACACAACCACTGCTGACAAATATTTCAAGGCACTACCCGAATTCCATCAAAACAGATTTTTTTATGTATCTGAAGGCCTAGTTTGTTCTTCTCACCACTTCTGTAGGGTTTGCTAACAGCTACCATCATCCATTTAACATCAAACCCAAGTGGGCATCTGCTCCTACAACCTGGAGGACAGAAAAGCAACCTAGGTGCAATTTAAAGTAAATATATAATAAAAGATTATTTATTAACAATAAACTTACATCAATTTTTGAAGTTTTGGCAAAAGCGCCCACCGGATGCACATGGTCGTAGAGTATGATGACACCCACCATTACCCTCAGACAGAATGATACTGTTTCCTCATTTGTAAATCTGCTTCTATATTCACTGTAATTTAAGAACAGAGATTACTATCTCTCAAATATAAGTGTACATACTAGTTATGCCTGAAATAAGACTAAAGCAAGAAAAAACTACTATAAATCCTCACAGAACCAAACCAAAACTCTAAAACCCACCAGCCTCATAAACTTTTAAGAGTTTTTCTTTTTTTTCCCCCAATAATAATTCCCTACAAGTTGGACCACTGCTTAGAAAGGGTTATCTGGAGACTATCAAAGGCTGTCAAACCTACAATAGTGCCCTGCCGCTACACTATTTCAGGTATTTGTTGTTTTTGTTTGTGGTGGTTTTTTTGTTTCATTGGTTTGAGTTTTTTTGATTTTTTTTTTGTTTTTAATTGGCAGGGCAGTTCTGGAGAAAAGTTTAAAGTAATACACACTAATTCTGCTTTCACTGCTTCCTACCCTTTTCTAAACCACCCTTCAAAATACCTACAACCCAAACTTCTGGCACAGGAAGAAAAGAAAATGAAAAGTAAAAAAAGGGCAAGCTTAATGATCAACACTTAACTACTTTCTTGAATGGGACCAACCATTCCTAAGCAGGGTGAGAATATAAATGTTTGGAGCTCTTAATGTGCTTCAGAACAAATGTACTGCGGTATTTGGACAGAAATTATTTTAAATAAGATGTATCTCATGCCTGATTAATTTTACCAGTGGGAAACTATTTAGAATGCAGGAAAAAAACAACTAACCACAGATAGAACCCCAAAGTTCAGTTTTACTTCTTGTTCATACTCCCAGTGCCTCTCAAATTTACTGCCTTCAATCCCAAAAGTCCTCTGGTAATTCCCCAGGCAGCGGTGCTGTAATTTTTACATTAGCCAAGCCAACTTGCAAGGAGGGACCATCCAACGCATTGCCCACAGCCTCTCTTTCAGCAGGCCTTAGGCAATCATGCTCAAATAGTATATTTTCCTGAATTATACATGAGAAAGCCATTTATAAAGAGTGCCAAGAGGTTGTCTACGTTTCACAGCCATTCTATTTTTAAATATTAATATGTTCAGAAAAGCAGGCTGCGTGATTTGCACGGCTAGCAAAACGAGACACGTTAGCTTCACGTCAAGGTAAACAACTAAGCTGCTAAGAAGGAAACACCACAGCTCCTAATTACCCTAATTACTTTTCTTTCACCTTACGCAGCACAAGCCATGTCTAAAACGCAGAGATGATTCATGCCCAACACAAGCACTGCTCATACTCACGGGGTTTCCAGCATGACCCGGCACACACTAGCCATGGTGCTTAAGCAGTCTGTAGTATTCTCTATGGGTAAATTTTTATTCTGCAGAAGAAGATAAATAGTTTCCAGTTCAATCATTGTGAGACATCATAGGACAAAACCTAAATCAAATTGGTGATCTACTAGCATGGGAATGTGGAGGAATTAAAAACATCAACACAACTATGGTCAGCTGGGTAGCTCTTTGAAAACAGAAATTTTTATAGCTCTCTGCTGCAAAAGTAAGACTTAAGTTTGTTGCAGACAAAGACCTCAAAGAAATGTAAGATAAGAGGGCATTTTCCTCAAGGCATTTCCAGTGTAAAGCAGAACGTGGGGAAAAAACCTGAAAGACATGTATCTTTGTATTAATCATGTAATGTGTAATTACTTTTTACTCATAGTAGAATGCTTGTCTTTTGATAACTGTGATGATGCCATTTAAGAAAAATCATCACAGTTATCAAAAGACAAGCACTATAGTTGCAGTGACTAGATTTTACCAATAATACATATTTAAGTAGTTAAGGAAAAATAGGGATGTGTCAAAACATCAAAATGAATACTTTTCTATTTCTGGTTCCTCCCTCTTCCACAACCACGTAAGTATACTTTACACACAGAAAGAAAGTGTCTTGAAGGAGAAAAGGAAGCTACATTTCAGTTCTCTTCCCTTTATCAAGTGCAGAGAATCAAGTTGTTTCAAGTTTCTGAAATTTCTGCTCTAAACCCTCACCAAAATGCAGTGAGTAGAATTACCTCTCCCACCTCCCTCCCTCCCTCCGTGAGGAAAGAGATCGCTCCCAGGGCCGTGATGCCCTCCAGTAGCCTTTTGCGACACATCCACCAGGTGGTTAGCTGAACTTACTCCAACCTCTTCGGCACCTGAGAAAGATGTTTCGTTTTCCTTGAGGCTCCAAAAAACAAGTTTGATTTCTAGACACCAGATAAAGCCTGGCACAAGAGCTTTGTGTTCCAAAATTACAAGTGGCCCTGCAGCATTCTGAAATACACTACCCAAGCGAAAAATTTACACTCTTTACCTCTGACACAAACTTTGTTGTAGCATCACTTAAGGTTTTCAACATTGGCGTTGCTTCAGCGTAAAATAAAGACATTCTGTTTGCCAACTCGTTATTTACTTCATTTTCTCCCTCTGCCTACAACACAGAAGAAAAAAAAAAAGAATTTCGTTTTTCTGTACATGAAAAAGACAGGCGGTAGTAAAAGGTTACGTTTCATCCCATCCAAGGGTTACCTACTGGGACATTGTTAATCCTCATACGGCTCAGAGTTCTTCTATAGTAGCTGAAGTCATTCTGTATAGCAGGATTTGTCATCTGCATAGACACAGAAGCAAAGAGTTGTGAGAAATTGAAGAAAAAAGTAAGAACAACTTTTCATAAAATACGATATTAAGAACAATAAAATATTCAGCCTTCTGAATTAAAAAGACCTGTGATGTTGGGAAGTGATCTGTAGGACATAAAGCCTTCTGGTTAAACTCTCGCATTTTTCAGAACAAGATCTAGGAAGAATAAGAAAAGCAGTAGTCTCCTAAAAGGGAGCTTGAAATTAGTAGGCTGAAAAAAAATATGGCTTGTCTAGTTCGTCTCCAAGGATCAGACCAGCAAATTAATAAATTAAAAAAACTTCAGCTTAGTTCTTTGCACATTAGCAAGAAAATAGCCAGACTATGGGTACACACGTGCTAAAAGCAGCCGCAGCAATACCCCAAGAGATACGTCAAATTCAGATAAAGAAAGATGATTAACGTGAACTGAAATGTAACAACTGCCTAAAGCTAATATGATATTTCATCTGCTTCCCAGTTTCATCTAACTCTAGGTCATGCGAACGAGCCGAGCGTGGTAGTTATGTGAGTATCTCCTGCATGCTCTACTCTAGAACAGAACACAACCCAGGCTGCTTCAGTAAATAGACTTGTTTTCCTTTTGCTAGCCTCCATGCTTACAGAACTACAAGCTCTTACCTTGAGCTCATCAAATCGGAGCGTAAAGTGAAGAATTTCTGCAAACTGCTTAGCAAGAGCCTGCTCTCGCTCCAGGTGTTGCGTTGGTGAATACGGAGTGCTTGTCAGGGCTCCCAGCAGACCTCGCAGTCCTGCCTCTTAAATGAGAGGAGAGCATTTTGCAACGTACAGCTGCACCTGCCTCTTGTATCTCTATAGACTGATACTCTGTGTGCGAGACTTAAAACATACATCTGCCAAAATACAGGGTAATTAATAATAAAGGGCTTGATGAATTGCTTCTGTGTGTCACTGTTACTGTATTTACTTACAAACTGCTCTAAAGACTAGGTCTAATCAGCACTGACAGCCATCAAAAAGCATCTCATAAAATTTTATTCAAGCTTTTTCTGCAACATCTGTGTAAAACTTTTTAAATAACCTGTAAGCAGAGTGCAGCCTTTAAGATAATACAGAATTGAAGAGGTACATGCTCAGCAACAGCAGTCATGCTTTATTTGGTTTTAAGATAAAGTTATAATTCAATTTCTGGCTCACCTCATCTCTTTAACAAAGCAGAACTTGCCTGCAGAAAGCTTCAATTTTTGGAGCTTGTTTTTTCATGAGCTATGCTAGTAACTCTGTCTACAAAAGTGAGGTAACAACAGGCAGCTTGTGAAAAAACAAATCAAGTCTAATAGGTTTTCTCAGCTTACTTAGACACAACATCAGTCAAATTGGTTTTGTAAGAGGCATGAAGCACCATCCTAAGTACTGCACGTGCATCAGCCAAGATCAGGCATTTCCACAGAACCAACTATTTGTGGTGTCTGGAAGGGAGTAATACTTAAGAGTACTTAAAAGTGATTCTATCACAAACATTAACAGAAGCCATTTCTGATTACTTAGTCTACTAATTTTCAAAACAATCAGCTGCTTCCCAGAGCTACTAAAGGGGCAGAAAAAAAGGATGACAAGTTGCTTCTGTTCTCTCTCTCTCTTTAACCAGGTATCTGCTAAAGCAAGCTTGCTTTCACATGCAGGAAGGCAGCACACAGACAAAAATAAGATCCAGACCACTGTATGGCAGGAATTTATGCAATAGAAGATTTCATCTACTAAAAAAGATTTGACCTAGATGTGATCACATCTGAAGATGCCAAATGTACTAGTAAAAGACAAAACCCCCAAGTTAATATCATTCCACTTACCTAGTCTTTGAGAAAATTCATAGAATTTCTTTAGTTTGCCTACTAGTGGAACAACTGCACCCCATGCCTTCTCTTGCAGCTTCTCATCATTGGGATGCTGTATTGCCTTAAATTAGAAAAAAAAAAGAGGAAGGAAAGTAGATTAAGGAAAAAAATCACACACTACTGAAAAAAAAAGTAAAAAACTCTGCAGGGCAATTGAAGAGCTAGTAATTAAAAATTCTACCTACCGAGAAGTTTCCATGTCAGAAACAAGCCTGTACCTAACCCATGTCTGCTCCAAAAAGCTCCATATATCTGTGTTGAAACTAAGTATCCTGAGCAGTAAAACAACTTTGATAGAATATAAAGAAATTGTTAAAAATAAACCTACTCAAGAGAAATTACACAGCTAGGTCTATTTAATTAAAATCAGTAACTTTACCAGGGTATCTTAAAAAAAAATTTAGTGATCGCAGCGTCATCGTACTGTTGGTATGTCGCACCAAAATTTCTGACATAACTAAACAAGTTTGCTGTTGGCAAACTACAGTTGGAAACTTTAAGCACAACCAACATAAAGCACCACTAAGACGTGGTGTATCTAGCAGAGCTTTGAGGTATACATGTACAGACCTTCTCTCTACAGGAAGCCTCCCAGACAGAAAAGTCTTAAATTCAATCTATCCAGGTTTTTAAGATAGAAACTAGACTACTAAGCAACTCAAAAGTACTTAGAAAACAGAAATAAAAGTGCTTGTAGCTCTCCTGCTACATCTTCATGGTCAAGTCCTTGATTCCAAAACCTGTTTCAGTGAACCCCGGGCTGTGAGCTGCAGCACACTCCTCTCTGGTCTCTAGAAAGTTTCCTTCCTGCGATGTCGAACTCCTTTCAGGAGTGTCTCTTCTTTCTCCACGGGAGCCGCAGGCTTCTGTGCTGACACACGTTCCTGCTCCATCTTATAGCTTCTCCCTGAACCAGCTCCTTCCGTGAAGAACAAGCACGCTACCTCCCTTCCTCAGGGTTTCACGTAACACAGTTACCCTTCTTAAGCCTACCTTATGAATTCAACAGAGAGGAAATACCATGGTACTTTAATTAAAGCTGAACGGCTATGAGTATCTTGAAATTCCTCTGGAGTGAGTCGGGACTCCTCCGAACTAATAGTATTTCCTAAGAGTATGTTACACTGAGTGACCTCTCAGTTTACGAGCAAAGCAGCCCTCACTGCTGCATCTGAGGAAGAAGGGGAAAGGGTTGAGAGTGTATATTCCACCCTTTCTTAAAGAAAAAATGGAGTGACATGCTGTACAGAAACCTCACTTCTGATCCAAACATCTACTTTAGTAAATAAAAGCCAATTAAAAGGGATCGAAAATGAGATGCCTTTTGTGCTGGGATTACCACACATCAGATTTCTCCAATTAGTGTACAAAAAGATGTCGACACTATTCAGTATTGCACTGTAGTCACGCCACGCTCTTTCCAAATTCGCCACTAACTCAAGAGGAGCTTACATGGGAATATGAAGAAAAATCAACAGTGACAATTCCATAAAAAGTTGGAGAAGCATCATGTGCTGTTGCATGTGTACATTAACATTACTGAAACAAGCGGCACCTGTTTCACTGTTAAAAAGGAACATTCCAGAGCAGAAATTCAAGACAGCAATTTTAATAGACAACATGCTCTGCCAAAACAGCTCCTGCAAGCGAAGTTAAAATCCAGCAGTATTTGGTTAGGATCAGACAGTGAACATCCACAGGTTGTGCGCAATCGTAACGCTCTAGCTCACCTCTCGTATTTCATGGCCAGCTCCTCTATATGACTGCAAGTCTTCCAGTATTCCTTCTGCATCCTTTAACACTACATTCACCTGATTATAAATTTCCTTTTCAGATTCTGTAGGTTGGGCATCTAAACAGCAGAACATATTAAATATATATATATATTTAACAGCAATATGGAATTCAATAGGCACACCACCACCTACGGAACAAACTCTTTGTGCAGCAACTCGTCAAGAATTTTCATTCTCTGAAGAGTTACTACAATGTATGAGGAACTCCAAGAGCGTACTTGCGTTCATTTTAGTAGCATTTAGCATCCCAAAAATCCACCTGGAATCCGTCCTTACTGACTTATTTAAATTTGAGTTGGGACAAGAAATGCTGACAAGCCGTCTTTATGACTACCATGACAATCTCACCTTGGGGTACCAGTAAAAGCTCAGCAGAAGGGACTTAAGTGAGCACCCAAGAGACACACTCACTGCTGCAATTTTTTTTGACTGGAAGATTACTTTCCATTTTCCCTGCCTCTCCTTTCACTGGTTTGGAAAGGAGACTTATCTCTTCCTTCCAAATATATTTAATTCTTAAAACATATTCTTTTTTGCACTAATTGCAAAACCAGAGCTGAGAAGAAAAAAAATCTGGTGTAAATTTCTTGGGTTTTTTTTTCCCCTCTTCCCTAAGGAAATATGCTTCTCCTGCTTTTTCTACAATTAGCTAAAAACTTTTCAAAAGTATATTTGATAATGATTTCGAAAAGCTACACATGCATGTTTAAAGAATCTTGATCCAATAAGAAGCATGTTTTGAGAAGTATCAACAAAAGGATTTAACTTGGTTTACCTGAGAGATTTTTTCTTTTAAAATTCTGATGGAAGCTATAAGGTTAGTTCTTTTTAAAGTGAGATATATA